TCTGATTGCTTCGAGCGCAGCAACTCTCGCAGACAAAAAATTTTCTGAGACTAATTACGCCTTCTAGACAAAGGCCGCTGACACTTGATATTTGAATGTACTGACTCGATGCATTGAATCATGTAGTATATCATCCTAGATATGGACTCAGGAGAATTACGAGGAAGCCGATCTATACGACCGCTTGATTTCGTCTTGCACGCAATCTTCGTGCAAAACAGCTTCCGAAGCAACTCATGAAGAGAGTGGAATCTTCTATTTGACTGTCGAAAGCAAGCGTTCGATACCATTAGGCGAAAATAGTTACTAAAGCGGATCAGAAACCGTCCGCAGGCACTTCCTCAGGGGTAGTAGGAGTAGTTTCGGACGAGGACGACACAACAAAGGACAAATTATCACAACGAAGTGGTAGTTCGACGATGAATCAGAACGATTTTGATGTTCTGCTAATACCTCGATAGATGGAAAGTACACATCATTATTCAAACAGGTGAGAGCCCCGGACGAGGATTGTGATGACTTCTTGTCGGTATGGCGATCCGGCAATCGTAGGAGAGATAGTGATGGGCTGGCGAGGTCACATGATCTTACAAACGGGGATGGGCCGAGGGTGAAGCATGAAGACTTCGAAGATCTCGTGATCCGGGCGACCAACCGCTTATAAATAAAAATGTCGATCAATTCGACGGGGACGGTGAATGCATGTGGCTAGAAGGAGAAGACGTGCGAGGCGACTTGGTTTCTTGGTGCAATTCTGCAAAATATTACACTGAGATCGGTAGCCGTAGAAGGACCTAAGCTAAAGGAGGCGATGTGACAAAGGCACTTTTGGAGACTATGTCGTAAATTCGTGTTCACCCAAGGTGGGAAAAGATTCAAATGCGTGGCAGAAAACAACTGAAATGTAAAACTAGTATTTCTATCGAATCGATAGATGTTGAAGTACATTGGCCTCGATCTAGCACCAGGTGCTAAAGCTATAGAGTTTAGATCGGTTTACCGTATTTTTTTCATGCTAAGATCGAGGTGTATAACATGTGAAACATTGGATTGATGGAAAGTGGATAAAAGTGACAAATGGGACGTAGATCCTGATGGTCTGGATGATATATGGATTAATAAAATCGATAGTTTACCCCGTCCTGACCGATCTCACACTTACCAAAGTTGACCAAATAACGTCAATCTAGATCTGAATAATTTGGCTGGGTGAATCTGAGACCAGTTGATTTTTCTACCACCTACTCGAGACGGATCAGTAGTGTGTTACAGAATTTCTATCAATACACCAAAATAGCAGTTGGAGATCGGGATATAGGTTCGTGGAAGAATATCAAATGATGATTATAAATCGATATTCGAGACGATAAAAAGGATTTTGATACAAAACGGATGAGTTCATATAGAAAGAGCCGGATGGAAGGTGTTCGAATGGATGCCACCAAGGTTATATTGGCTTGTTCGGCGAAATATTTGGAGATGATCCTAATATTATGGATACAGGGCAATCCTTTAAATATAAGTACACTTTTCTCGATATCATCAAATTGTATTCGATATTATCACACTATTCTTGGTGCAATTCAAAATTCTAGGTATATCACACTAATTTAAATATACACACGACATTCTTGAGATATGGCAATTTTTTGATTGGAGAGTATGGAATTCTGCTTGACAACGTGATTATTGGAATATCGGCCGGAAACGGTGACACATGTTGGCGGCACAAAATAGCGTAAAGAAGAGGTCAGTTTGGAGGACACCCGGTTGCTCAGAATAGGCATGCTGATAGCTTGTCAATAAAAGTTGGCTAATTCATTAACAAACTGAATTTATATTCCTTCAACTAAACTCCACTAATGCCGTGACGTAGAGATGAAGCCAGACGAATCGAAAGGTACAAAAGGCGATCCCAGGACTATAAATTATGGTATAGATCGAAATTTCGATGTGTGCCATGATTTATAGACCTGTGATCACCTTTTGTTTGTAGTCTGGGAACGTTGGAGTGATGCATTTAACATCAGCAATCTTGTGATATCAAGTTCACCACATTAGCTTCTCTTTTGCGATATCAACCGCGGCATTTGTCTGGTCGTCATCACGACATCATTACTTATTAAATGTATGCGTTTAAACCTGCACCACACTAGAGGGACCGAAGCCTCGACGATATGTCCTTAGACAAACAATTCTTTCATAATCCTACTAATTGTTATCGCAACGCGTTGTATCAGCGACTGACGTGCCATTTCACTAATAGTCGAGTCGCATCGCTTCTAAAACAACCTTGGACAATATCAAAGTAAATTGACTCACATTAACGGATGCACATCATACTGACCGACTTCCGAGCAGCTGATCCCTACCTCCAGAGCGGTTTGCATCTCAGAACGCGTAGGTTGCGACATATAAAGCTCCATGATGCATGAATCGCTTCGACACGAAGGCCCAGATGTACACGGCTTCATGGCTCATGCCGCTCATGTAGGCTATTTGGACCATGAAAAGCGTTTATAAAACAATGCAAGGATTAGACCGTGATTGGTGGTGTCAAGGTATAACAATTTAACGAACAAAATTGCAGTCAAATCTTGCAAATTGACACGTGTGTCTGTCGCTAAGCAATTGGTGTCGTTTCAATTATTTTCGTTAAATGCCTCAGTATATTGTTCACTGTATTACGAGAGCAAATCTGTTAGTGGTGTTTATCGCTCCGGAACGGATCACATCCTATCGCGACACACGTGATGCTTTCATTAGTGCAGTAGCGGACAGCAAGTATGCCTTAAACGCATGTACTGTTTTAATCATCACGAAGCAGTATGGGAGCTGATCCCTGTAAAGTGTCTACTCTCGAGTTTCCATAGAATCTGTAGCTTATTTACTGGAACGCTTCGCACCTACCGATAGTCGACGTTTGACCGCGACTTGCCCGCATACTATTGTGATTAGTAGCACCTATCTGAATCCTACGGCGTTTTTGTCAATGTAAAAAATTCTTAGTAACGACAATATTGACGGACGTTTCTGGTCTTCTCACGATCTGAAAGCCATGATAGGTTATTGTAGGTACAGCTCAGAACCATTGGCTCGAGTATAGTTAAAACCCCGATGATCTGAGGGAAAGCTCATACATTCCAATTCGAGCAGATTTTGAGCTGACATCAGCGTTTAACGTCGTGATCCCAGCCTTAATGTGTATATATTTTGGCAACATTAGAGCGAAGGACATCGACGAATATTAGCACACCAATCGATTTGATTTAGTTGCCGGTATGTATATTATCGATAAGGGGGTACAACCCTCAGATAGAGTCCGACATTCACCTTTGCCTAGATAGGTGCATCAGAATCACGATTGCACGCGACGAGTGTTATTGGGCGGGAATAGCGCACAGACTAGCCATGTGTGTAAATTAATTACAAATATAGCATCAATTTTGATCAGCAACTAGTCTTGGTTAAAGCTGAAGAAAATAATGAATTGAGTGAAGAGTTCCGATCGCACATCCGACCCAGCCCATTCCAGTCCCGGATAGGATTAGTTGTTGATTCAACCTGGGCTTACCAAATCAAAATCTATAAGGCAAAAGATTAGACGCGCGCTTCGATGAGACACGGTCTCGACAGATCATTGAAACTTAACATCAACGCTTAGAATACGTACTTCAAAGACGACATCTGTGTGTAAGACACACAACAATCTTGCGGTAGGTACGCTATTGCATTATCTACCCACACGACTGCTCTAAGTCCGTATCGCACTTGGAAAATTTGTCAGGCCTTTCTCATACATTACCATGTCGTTACACGGAAGTCTTATGTGACGGTTTTGACCCCGTCATAGTGGCTGGCACGCGTTGCCCCTACGATCGAATTACTTGACCATCTTCTAGTGTGGGCATACCTCGTACCCGATCAGGTATTACATTCGTCGGCTCGGCGAAAGATTGTTAAATTTCACCGCTCCTTGGGTCTGTTAACGTATTTAGTACAGTCGGTTTCATAACACGAAGAAGTTGTACCAACCAATTTGCGACCCGAGCACAGGTACAGGGTTGACGAGCAACTATACCCAGATGTCTCAAAATATTTATTACCTTTCGGCACATGTTGTAAATAAACGCTGCATATCTTTTGCTGCATATACGCTTGCTGATTATCTGCTTACCGCTCAGTGTGCGCGCGTGTTATCATACTGTTTACGGACATGAACATCATATCATGCATATGATGTTCATGAGTAGCCATGCAGAGTGTGTTCGTATCCGCTACCTAAAAGCATCTGCTATCATCATGTTCGCTTCCTATTACTTGCTAAAGACATGGCAAATAGCCCGCGCTGACGACATTTTGCTAGATATTTATTATCAGGCAATCTTCATACGACGTTGATCCATGTGGCAACTTAAAAATAATAATAATAATAATAATAATAATAATAATAATAATGAAAATAATAATAGTACCAATATAAATAATAGCAATAGCAACAATACCAATAGTATTAATTATAATGATAATAGCCTTGGTAACGGTAATAATAACAACTACAACAACAACAATAAGAATAATAATAATAATAATAATAATAATAATAATAATAATAATAATGAAATAATATATTATCATCATTATCATCATCATCATAACAATCATCATCATCATCATAACAATTATCATCATCATCATAACAATCATCATCATCATCCTAACCATAATAATCATCATCATCAATATAATCATAATAGTCCATATTCATTACAATAATAAAAACAATTATATCAATGATTATAAATATATGAATCATAATAATTGTAAGAACAATACCAATAGCAATAACAATTATGACCATTTCATCATCATCATCATCATCATCATCTATCATACAAACTCCCCCATACCGTCAAAATGTCCATCTGTCCGACTCGAAATGTCTTCGGGAGCTCTTCGTATTGGACGAGTCATCTGAATCTTCCGATACGAAACTAGCGATGCACCACCAGCACCAGCAGCTGAAGAATGCAGTGGCCGTAGCCGCATGTGTCGCGGCACTTGCGGGTCTCGCCCTGTGGTCGCATAGCAGGCGTCAGCTGCCGAAGAGCTGTCCCCCCCATCGTTTGAACCACTTGCGCTTTGACTTGAGCGTGGCGGAGATTGAAGCCGAGACGAAGCGGATCCTCAGCCGCATGAAGCGCGTGGATGACGAGATTGCGGCACTGGCGCCTGCTGACGTGACGTTTGCAAACACGGCGCAGAAGCTCATTGACTTGGATTACGAGATGATGAGTCGCGTGACCAACGTGACGTTTCTGGGCCAAGTGGCGGTGGACAAAGAGACACGCGACGCCTGTACAAAGGCACAGCAGGCCATTGAGGACTTCTCTGTGCTGCGTAGCATGCAGGCGGGAGTGTTCCAGGCTGTCTATGGGCTCTACAAGAGTGCAGAGTATCAGGTCAGCAGGTGAAGTGAGGAGACGCAGCTGTCGTAAAGCGGAGTACTAACTGTTGCGTTTCGTGTGTTACAATTACATGACAGACACTGGATGCGGTAACGCAGCGCTACGTTTACCGTCTCGTACAAGACTTTCAACGCAATGGATTGCAGCTGCCCGAAGAAAAGCAGCAGGAGGTACAGGCGTGGAAGCAGAAGCTATCTAAGCTTGGCATCCAGTTTCAGCAACACCTCGCAGAGGAAACGATCCAACTAGAGTTTTCGCATGATGAGCTGAAAGGGCTCAGCGACGACTTTGTCGATGCACTTGAGATAGATGATGACGACAAGTACAAGGTGAGTAATGCAACTGGCTGCCACTCTTTTGTCTGAGGATAAGGTTGACACAGTTCTATACGCTCCATTTGCAGGTTGTTCTTTCGTACCCGACAGTCTTCCCAATTCTCAGCACGTGCTCCGTGGAATCGACGCGCAAGGCTGTTGAATACGCCTTCAATCGCCGCTGCATCTCCACGAATGTCGCTATACTGGAAGAGATGCTAGAAATCCGACACAAAGTAGCATTGACGTTGGGGTACGAGAGTCACGCTGCCTACGTCCTCGAGCAGAGGTGAGTCGACAGGTTTCACTTCTCGCACGAATGATCACTAGTGAGATTGAAATCGCTTTTGTTTACCTCTGTAGGATGGCAAAAACTCCGGCAAAGGTGAAGGAATTCTTAAACGACCTGAACAACAAGCTCGAGCCGATTGCTATGAAGGATCTAGACGACTTGCTGGAGCTTAAGAAGGCCGAATGTGAGCGCAACGGGTGGAACTTCGACGGCAAAATCAACATGTGGGACTTTCGCTATTACACGGAACAGTTCGTGATGAAGCACTGCTCTGTCGACAGTGAGAAGCTCCGCGAATACTTCCCACTGACGCACGTGACGGCAGAACTGCTGTCCATGTTCCAGGAGCTATTGAGTCTGAAGTTTGTGGAAATTGCACAACCTCACGTCTGGCACAAGGACGTTCGTATGTTCGCAGTCTACGATGCTCGTTTGGGTCGAGTCGGCAACCTCGTCGGCCACTTCTACCTGGACTTGTTTCCCCGCGCAGGCAAATATGGTCATGCAGCCTGCTTCACGCTACAGCAGAGCTGCGCGAACTCCTCTGGCCGTCGTGAGGTACGTTTTGCTTGCTTTTTTTGCTGTTCAGCCATACCGGTTGTCTTACGCGTCAGTGTGATGATCATAACAGTACCCTGCTGCTGCCATGGTCGCTAACTTCAACGCAGCAACCAAGTCAAAGCCATCGCTTTTGGGGCACCAGGAGGTCGTGACGTTCTTCCACGAGTTTGGCCACGTGATGCATTGCTTGTGCTCTGAGGTCAGCATTCCTCGCTTTGCTGGCACGCGCGTTGAGCGTGACTTTGTAGAAGCACCGAGTCAAATGCTTGAGAACTGGTGCTGGGAGAAAGAGCCACTGCAACGTCTGTCGTCGCACTACGAGACTGGAGAGGTACGTCATGTTTTGCCTGCGCCTCGTTCTCACTCACTCACTCACCTTTTTCCGCTGATTGTCTGCCGCTTGCAGAAGCTCTCGGACGACCTCGTCGCTCGCCTGATCTCGACGAGGAACGCGACCACTGGGCTAACGAATAAGCGCCAATTGCTCTTTGCTACGTTTGACCGGATGATCCACTCCACGCCCAAGTCCAACTCGGCAGAGCTCCTCGGTCAGCTACAGAGTGAGATCATGCTCATTGACATGACGCCCGGCACGAACTTTGCGGCTTCGTTCGGGCACTTGGCAGGTGGCTACGATGCGCAGTACTATGGCTACCTGTGGAGCGAGGTGTTTTCCACGGACATGTTCATGTCCCGCTTCAAGAAGGACGGACTTATGAACCAAGAGACGGGAGTCGCGTACCGCGAATTGATTCTTGCGCGGGGCGGCTCAATAGACGCCACTGACATGTTGCAGGACTTTTTGGGTCGCGCGCCGAATGACAATGCGTTTCTGCTGAGCAAGGGTCTCACTTAATTGTACTGAGATTGGACCTTGAAGTGCTCGGATTCAATTAATTGTATTTCAAAAAAAACACGCAAGGGGATCGAGTCGATCATCATAATAGGTGTTTTTTGTCACGCTCGACGATGGGATTCGTATGTCTCGTTCTGCTTACGCAATCGACTGCTCATGTCAGATCACATGTCGCAGAGGGCTTACCCGTAACTTATCTCCTGTGTGGTCATTTATCGCTCCATCGACGCAGTAAAATACACACACGTAACGCACGTGCACACGCCTCCCCCACAAGGCGCCGCGTCCGATCCAATGGCGCTCGAAGCGGCGGTGGTGGGGCTCCCCGGCAACTCGTACGCCTTCACCAACTGCGTGTACGTGCACGTGGACGACTTCCTGTCGCTCGTGAAGAAGGTGCCCAAGGGAGCGGTCACGAAGGACGAGCTACGCGCGCACGGCCTCAACGTGTGGCTCAACCGCAAGTTCGTTCTGGCCGCGAAGCCCCACAAGGAGCTCGAGCAGGGGACTGTGGCCGTCGGGACGATGCAGCGCATGTGTGTGGGGCTGCCCATGAACGAGGTCTGCGAGCTGTCGGTCCACGCGCCGTCCTACGCGGCCCCGAGCGTGCTCAGCACCGTCACGTTTGAGGTGCAGCAAGTGCTGACGCGGGCCCAGGGCAGCGGCCTGCGCGTGATTGACTGCAGTTTATTGAAACAAGTCTTTGAGAACGAGTACACGCATCAGGTCTTTGCGGTGGGACAGCTCCTGGCCGTGCGGTGCGACGGGCTGCCACTGCGTCTGCAGTGCGTGAACGTGGACACAGTGGACGGAGACAGCAGCAGCAGTGGCAGCTCGAACGCGTTTGCTCCGCGTCTTGGCACGTATCTGGAAGGGGCGATCGTCATGTTTACCAAGGCAAAAGACGCTCCGATTCGTCTCACGAATCAGTCCAGTGGCACCACACGCACGGTGTTTAAGCCCGACTTTGACTTTACGAAGCTCGGCATTGGTGGCTTGGACAAGGAGTTCAACGACATTTTCCGCCGTGCTTTTGCCTCCCGGCTATTCCCTACCGACGTCATTCAGAAGCTTGGCATACAGCACGTGCGTGGAATGCTGCTGTTCGGACCACCTGGTTGTGGTAAGACGCTTATTGCACGAAAGATCTCGCAGGCTTTGACTGCCAAAGAGCCAAAGGTGGTCAACGGACCGGAGATTCTCGACAAGTTTGTCGGCGAGTCTGAGCGCAAGATCCGGGAGCTCTTTTCCGATGCGCGCAAAGACCAAGAAGAGCTCGGGGACGAGAGCGATGTGCACATTATTATCTTTGATGAAATCGATGCCATTTGCAAGCAGCGAGGCTCGAGTCGCGATAGCACTGGCGTGGGCGACAGCGTCGTGAACCAGCTTTTGACGCAGATCGACGGTGTCGACAGCTTGAACAACGTGTTGGTGATCGGCATGACGAACCGGAAGGTGCGGGTGTGGTTGTCGTCGTCACACGATTGCATATTCACGCAGTCAGTCTCAGTGTGTTGTTGATTGCTTGTTATACGATTAGGATATGCTCGATGAAGCTCTGGTGCGTCCTGGTCGTCTTGAGGTGCAGATTGAGATAAATTTGCCCGACGAGAAGGGTCGCGCTCAGATTCTCAAGATTCACACGGACCGTGCTCGCGAGAAGGGAGCGCTGCATCCGAAGGTTATTGCAGACCTCGACAACTGCCTTGACCCGGCCAAGTTTGTCAGCAAGGACCCTGAATACAGAAACCTTGTCCAGCGCACGAAAAACTTTTCTGGTGCTGAAATCGAAGGGTTGGTCCGTGCTGCTACAGCGCATGCCCTTTCGCGCGGTACTGATGGCCGGACAATGCACGCCATTGCCAACTACAACCCAGAGATCTCCATGGAAGATTTCGCGCTGGCACTGGATGAGGTAAAGCCTAAATTTGGTGCCCCTAGCGATCAGCTGGCCCTGTACTACAAGAACGGACTGATTCCATACGGCGATGCATTCACTGACGTACGTGAGACACTGATTCGTGTGATTGATCAAGTCCGCTCGAACGACAAGACACCATTGATGTCGGTGCTGCTGCACGGCGAACGTGGCGCTGGTAAAACGGCGTTGGCTACGTACTGCGCCGTCGCGAGTGAGTTTCCGTTGGTGCGCATGGTGAAGGCTTCCGAGCTCATCTCGCGCGCTGAGAGCGGCAAGTGCTCGTTCATCTACAACGTGTTTGAGGAGGCGTATCGTTCACCGCTCAGCATCATCATCCTGGACGACATTGAGCGCCTGATCGACTATGTTGGTGCGTAGTTGGTCAATCAGTGAATGTGCGTGTGTCGAAGAAGCTAACACTGTAGTCTTCTGTGCCAGGCATGGGTCCTCGATTCTCGAATCTGGTGTTACAGGCACTAATGGTGCTGGTGTGCAATCCTGTGCCCGTGGCTGGGCGGAAGCTCGTCGTGATTGGCATCACGTCCAACATGACGGCGTTGCAGGGCGTGGAGCTGAGCAATGTGTTTGATCTGTGCCTCGAGGTGCCGCAGCTCACGCAAAGAGACGAAGTCGAGATGGTGTTGACACAGACAGGATTGCCCGTAGCTGACGACCAGAAGCACGAGGTGTTGACTTTGCTGTCCGATCGCCCGATCTCGGTCAAGAAACTGTTGCTCGTGACGGAGATGGCCAAGGAAGAGCTGAACCGCACTGGCGAGAGCACCATATCGGCGCAGCAGCTGATTGAATGTGTCTACAAGTTCGTGTAGCTGACCACGAAGAAAGAGAGAGAGAGAGAGAGAGAAAGGAAGCGGCTGGCAGACGGTTTCGAGACAAAAAGCGATCGCTGCTTTGCTGTTTGTGCTGTCCACGTTGAAGGAAGTTCGCTCGCCTATCATCAGTCTGTCCCACTACCACTTCCACTACCACTTCCTAACTCTCCGCAACCGAAAGTCCCAATGGCATCTCAACTCCCGTAGGAAGTACCTCTGAAAGTCTCTCTCACTCTCGAATTCTCCTTCCACAAAGGACGCGCGAGCGAGCGAGTAGAGCGGTACAGAGAGAGAGAGAGCGAAAGATTTTCGACCGTTGACACCAATGACGGACGGGTCCCCCGCAGCCGTTGAGCACGTGCCGTCACTGACCGAAGAGCAGCGGCGACGCGCGCAAGAGACCATTGACGACCTCCTCGAGACGCGCCCCGACGCGACAGACCTCGAGCAGCGCAACGTGCTGTCCACGGCGTCTCCCACGGTCGCCAACACGCTCCAGGGCGTGCAGAAGCAGCTGCAGCACAAGATGCGCTCGGACGAACTGGCGCATCGGCTGGAGACGCGACCGGACGTGCAGGAGCTGCGGGACCAGTCGATCGTGCACGGCATTGACGGCGTTGCTCCGAGTTTGCAGGCGACGCAGGAGAAGCTGCAGCGGCAGCTGAAGACGGACAAAGTGAACCAGAACTTGAGCAAACGGCCGTCGGTGGAGGCGTTGCGCGCCACGGGCGTCTGGGAGACGAGTGCCGAGCTGGCGCCTCGTCTCACGGCCACGGCCAAGCAGCTGGAGAAGCAGCTGGTGCAGGACCACGTGGCGCAGTTGCTCGAGGCCCGACCGGAGAAGGACGAGCTCGTGCTGCACCATATTCTGCCAGGTACAAGGGGACACGCGGCAATGGGTACGGGCGCTAGTGTGGAGGCAGGTGGCTGACGTGGTGCTGCTACTGCTGCTGCTGCTGTTTTTTTGCTGAACAGATCAGGAGGCAATGGTGGCGCCCGTGCTCCAAGGAACGACGTTGGAACTCGAGCGGCGGTTGCGCGCGGATCAGGTGGCGCGGCAACTTCGTCATCGGCCGGCCGTGACGGAGCTCGAGAAGAGAGGAATCATTGACGGTGAGCACGTCTCGATGAGGACGCGGTCGTTGCAAGTGATGCGAGTCTGCGACTGATGGATGGATGGATGGATGGATGGATGGAGGGTGAATGCTCTTGTTGTGCCAGAAGGAGAGCTGGGAGAGGATATGGTGCTACCAACGAAGGAAAAACCGCTGTCGCCTCGTGCTCGCTACGCGCTGGCGCTGAAAGCAGTCAACCGCATTGCAGCTGACAAGATGATCTCTGCAGAGGAGAAGACGCGTCTGAAGGATTTGGTTTTGCGTGGCAATGAGACTATTGTGGCGGCGCTCAACTGCTATGCGCTTGACGAGGAGAACGGAGAGAAGCTCGACGCATTGCATTGTGCGCTTGCCAGCGCGTCGCCGTGAGGGTCCCATGCGACGTTGCGTTGGCCTGTCGTAGCGATGCAGCATGAGAAAAGTGCGTGACTTGTGGTCCGCTGTCTTGAACAAGAACTGCCAATTTGTATTGCGTGAGTGAGACTGCAACACGTGACCAGCAGCGTCAGTGTGCGTTTTATTCTGCTTGCATGAAGGCATCAACACTGTCGCGAAGAGTGCTGCATAGAAGTTTAGAATCGGTGCGACCAAAAGGACGCACAGGGACACGTGTTCGTACCTGATCTGCAGCAGCGAATCGACGACGCCAAAGAAACTCCGGTCCTCGAGTGGAGTGGCTTGCGTGGCAGGCGGCTCCGGGTGTTGCAGCCATGCTGAGAACAGCAAGAGAGGTCCGTTCATTTCGACAAACTTCGCTTGCAGTTTCGCTGCGGCAGGAAAAGCACGAGGTAGTGACTGCAAACGTTGCACATGACCCACGACGACGCACAAGCGCTGTTAGCACTCATGATCCTCATTGCGTTCAGTAGCGTGCAGGTACTCACCTCCACTAGCGTGTAGCTCGAACGTGGAAAGCTCTCCTTGTCACGAGTCCTACATGCACCGACATCGTACAGTAAATGTACTGCCAGCATGACACACGCATCAAAGTGACAGCCTCACCAGCACTCATCGTCCTTGAGCAGTCCATATAGCTCCAGCACCGCTTGGTACAGACCTTTTTGCTGCTCTTTCGGCGCCTGCACGAACAGCCTGAACCCTTAGTGCATCTTCGCCTGCCCACCTCCTACTAACAAAGCAGTTGAACCAGAAAACCCGCGCACCTGTTCATAGTCGACCGCGAAGAACCAGCCTGGAAGCATCGAACCGCTCATGCCGATCGAGCTTGCAACGCCCGCCGTCTTGGGCCCATCGACCTTCTTGCAGCACGTTGAGAACGTCAGCGTCTCGAGCAGCGAAGCGAGTCTGCATCCGACACGCGAACACGATTCAAGTCACGTTACTAATCCACACACGTAGTGCATCATCCTTTGCAGCAGGTGACCGAGACGCCACCCCACCACTACTGCCAATGCCATTGTCGCCGCACTTTGATTCAGACGTGTCGCCGCTCGTGCCCAGTCGCTTGAACGTCGCAATGACGCAGCATTCGGCCTTGTGCGCAGGCCACGCACGCACTTGACACGCGCGACCGCAGAACAGAGCTGCGCCACACGGCGCACACCGCTGCGACAAACAACAACACAGCCACAAAGTAGCAGCAGCAGCCACACACACACACATCTGTAAGTGCACTTTCAACACGTCCGTCGTGTATCGTTTTCATCCCCACCTTCAGACCGCTGCCAACAACGTCGTTGAGCGTCGCACGGCAGCTGTGGCATCCCGAGCCAATCGTCCACACGTCTCCTCCATACTCCTCGAAATGCGCCACCAGTCGCGCTTCAGCTGCCGCTTCGGCGTCCTCACACCTGCGGTCGTACGTCGTGTCGAGCATCGCCGACCACCGATTGCCTCGTAGTCGTTAAGCTTGTGAACCCCACCCCACCCCACAGGCTCTGCCCATCACTCCGAGCGCATCATGTCCGTCCGCCCGGCAAGTAGCCCCGACACGCTCGAGCTCCGCACTGACACGGTCGAGTCCCCTGCACCTGCTCCGTAGCGTCCCGCACCACACGGCTCGAGCCGCCGCCGCTATAGTCGATCGTGAGCTCTTGACCCGCGTCGACGCGCACGCGCGTGAAGAGCGCCAAGCGCGGCACGAACGAGTCCACGCGCACGGCCTCGAGCGCCATGTTGGCCGCGCAGCTGTGGTTGACGAAGCGCGTCGCGTTGCCGCTGCTCGACGCGTCCACGTTCGTCCGCACCGTGTCGAACGGCAGGTTGCCCTCTTCGTTCGGCCGCGCCACGTGCTCGCGCACCGACCACACGTAGTTCAGCGCCTGTGGGTCGTAGCGCTCGCGATAGCGCCGCTGCACTTCGCGCGTCGACACGAGTTCACCTGTGTACTCGCCAACGAACGTGTTCGCTTCGATGGGTTGGGCCGCGAACACGCCCCACCCCTTTGCTTTGGTCGTTGCGAGAAAGACAGCGACTTGACGGCCGCGACGGAGCTGCTGCCAGCGCGTGTCCTGTTGCTGCTTTTCCAAGAGCTGCAACGGCAGTGGGTACTGCTGCAGCTGACGCGCGACGGGCACGTGGACGGCCGTCGCATAAGTGAACGTCTGCAAGAGCTCAACGACAGCAACGAGTTTCGTGGCGAAGGTCGCGGTCCGAGGGAAGCGGACAGGTAGTGGCAGTACCTCTTTGCCCTGCGAGATGTCCCGCACGACAGCGTCGAGCCACGTGCGGAGCACTGTGCGAGCAGCTGCGCAGGAACGTGCGATGGCGACGAGTGACTGGGTACTGAGGCACAACTTGTGTCTGCTCTGTGAAGTGAGGAGGACTGCGAGAGCATTGGCAAACGACGCAGTGGGGTGTGCGACTGCTGTCTGCAGCTTCTTGACCGTTTTCGCAGGCTTTGGCGTCGTCGCCATGGCTGCGATTACGGGAATGACTGGTGCAGTGGAGCTCACTTTGTCACGTGTGTTTGTCCCCCCGGTACTTACTTACTCGCCATAGACACACTCTGCCAAGGGTTACGTGACTTTTAAACACGAGACGCGTCGGCTAACGTTACTGGAGTCGCTAGTTGGCACGAGCAAGACGACCTGTGCGAGTCAGCGAGTTTTCATGTTGGACAGCAATTTGGTAGACGACAAGTGTCCTGTTGACAGGTAATGCGTCCGCACTGGGGTTTCAATATGATGGCGAAGATCTCACTAGATGATGCAAAAGACGACGTTCGAGTGCAAATGTGGTGACGAAAAGGTAGAGGATGCAGCAGCCTAACGGACAACGCATGGGCAGTCTGATCGACAATTGCTCCCGTGTGACTCTGTCTTACGAGCGTGCGCCTGACACGGAATGAAAGACTACATGTAAAAAGAGCACCTGTCGTTGGCAACATCGATACCTGCTTCGCATTGTTGCACGTCAGTAAGTCCACCTAAGACTGTGTTTGCATATTGAACATGCGGGCGCAATGCCACGCAGAGCAAGTTGGGTTCGGTAGAACAGTAAAGTATGGATTGTATATCGAGCTTGCGTCACCGCAGGCACTCTGTGTGTCGCCCTCTGACCGTGCTAGTACATGCAAGACAAAGGGCAGATATGGGAGCGCGTAAGAACTCATTAATGAGTGAGTGTTTGTCGAACTTTTGTCCGCCATCGCTGCCTGACACATTGACTCGCTGGCGAGCTGTAACGGGGTGAGCCCGTTACATAAAATTGGTATGAATGCATCAATTTTGAATAGTGTCTATTCTAAATAATATTCAATTAACACTACCCAAGAAGGGATAATGCTGGAGATATATTACCCCCAAGGGTAACATCCTTGTGTGCTCCTTTTCCTGGTTGATGTAGACGCTACATCAACCAACTCAACCAACAATCGCTGCTAGACGCGCGCAATGAGCGGTGAGCAATAAACCCACATGAGAGACTGTAGTTTAATATAGTTAGATTAAGACAGATAATTTACAAGGACACTTAGCTATCTTAAATACAATTCTACTTTTCTCTTTAACAGAGCTTCCTGGCTCTGCTTACTTCCTCGCGCTTTCTCACGCATGTATACGTTACGTCGGGAGCACGCAGCCTCGTGTTGGATTAACACAAGGTCTAATTAGTTATCTGGTAAGAGCGTGCCCCGTTCCACCTGGTAGCAGTTTGTAGTCCGTCCAGCGACCACGACCACCTCCATGAGCATGAACATGGTTGTATGAGGAGGAAAGCTTTCACATCCCGCGTGAAGGCTTTAACCATTTTAGTGACATCGAATGGGGTGCGGTTGAACGTATGAGATCTACCGCAAGCGAAACCGCCGTTGGCGCCATGTTGGAGTCTCTTGACAGAGACCAACAACATGCCGCTATGGCCAGGTTCATTCAAATGAACTTGTCGCCGAAAGAGGGAAAGAGAGGTAGCTTATCTTTATCAGCAAGGATATCAACAGGCCGAGCAGTTGAGATAACTCGGTTCTCAACAGACAGAGCTGTTGAGACAGGAGAAATTCAATGCTGCTATGGGCGGGACGACACACACGCGTCGTCCCGGAGTCTGGAAGGTTGGTATCTACAAGTATCGAGGAGATGTCAAAGACTCCCTGATTTTATGGTTCGTCAAACCAGACAGAGCCATAAAGGCACGTTATATCGACGATGAGCAAATGAAACTCACACTTGCTCAAACCCACTTGGCAGGACGTGCCAAGACTTGGGCCTTAGCGATAGAGAGATGAGTGACCCATATGCATTCCAGTCACTAGAAGCCTTCAAGACCCGGCTCAAACAGACGTTCGAATCGCCGCGGGCTGAGTTCAAGACTCTATCAGAGCCCCCGAAGCTCAAGCAGGGTAAGCGTGATGCGCACGCTTACGCGCAGCATGTACGACTCCTCGAGAGTAGTATAACTGCTAACCCTGTACATGAACACTCCTTAATTACTATGTTCGTGCAAGGTCTCGCAGATGAGCCCGTTAGGAACCACCCGTTTCACTTAGAGCTGGATACGCTTGAACAAGCAATCTCAGCTTCGGAACAGGGGGAACGTTGCATGAGACATTCTCATGCTAGGTCGAGCTCTTATGGTCCATCGAGGCGACAAGAGACTGGAGGTCCAGAAACAATGTAACTATGTTATGTTGAAAGCGACATATGTTGCTCTTCAAACAACGAGAGATTGCAGAAGTGCGATCGCTGTCAGAAGTTGGGGCACTACGCTTACGAGTGTAGTGCCCCCCCCCCGCCCAGTACCAAACAGTACCGAGCGAAATGATCGCTCCTTTGCCAAAAAGAGCGATGGGAGAAGGTCCAACGCTGTTGCGAAACCGCAACAGCGAAGCGGACCATAAAAATTTGTCGGGGTCAGTAGGGGCGGAACGCCTACTGGTCCAGCAACTTCAAGAAAATTTGCAAATCTCTCTCGAAAAAATTTGCTCCAGATACACAATTATTGTGTGTCTCTGCACCTGGTGATGACGCTTCGCTCATCACCTTGAAGTTGGAAGTGACAAAAGATTTGTCGCTTCGTGATCTAGTTGACTGTGGGGCGTCGAACAACATTATTCGCCGCCTGTCACTAGAGGGTCGTAGACTCAAGTTCGTTGAGCGCGACATCCTCCTAACGAGGATGACGGCGCGCCTCGCCACAGGCGCATCATCAACCGTTGATAAAAGTGTAGTAAAGATCCACTACACGTTAGAGGGCGAACAGTAAGATGATGACTCCATCGTACTAGGTGACAAATTTGATGTCATCCTGGGATTACCTTGGCTTAGAAGTTAACGAGCCAAGCGTGAGCTGGAAGCATCGATCCGTCATTCCTGCCACTCGTTCATCAGATGGTCATGTGATGAACGTCTTGGAGCGTCCATAGGCGTGTGGTTGTACTGCGAATGAGTGCGATGGCCTCACTTGCGGTACGGTCGTTAGCACGACTGCACAAGACTTCTGTGTAGTTGGTCACTACACTGTGGAGCAAGCTCCGGGCGGCTGTACAGGAGTACAGGCAGCGCCAAAGGTCCACCACTAGAAAAAGTCAAGTGGATAGGGATAAGGATGCATGCCTAGCGGGCAGCATCCTAGGAAGTAAGAAACCACGTTGCCTCCAGAAACGGCACCACGGATATTTCTGGGTCGACTGATAGAGTCGACCGTAGATGATCGGTCCCTGACGGTGGTTGCACAGCCACAATCAGTAGACGTCAAGGGAATAAGCCCACACGTGCTTGAGGAAGGAATTACTCAAGCGGTCACTTGCTGAAAGATTAGGCTCTCAGCAACCTAAATGAACAAGCCCTCAGCACCCTGCGGAAACAAGCTCTCAGGAAGAAACCGAGGCGTTGAACGTCTTGGTCAAAGACGAATCAAGCGTAGGCGCTTATAACACTTGATCTGATTGTGCCTCCGAAGTTAACTTTGAAGATAAATTAATTGCCAACACTAGAACCGAAACGGTTCTTGCGTGATCTGCGTAAGTGGCAAAGTCAAGAAAGTCTGCATACTCGTCACAGAGGATGAGTATGTGGCCGATGTTCGGTATGCAACCGTATTTGATGAGAGCGAACGGGTTCTCAGCAGCTCATCGATGGACGAAAGTGTCCTCGATGAGAAGACTCGGATTGAGCGATACACGTCTCAATCCTGGGAGTCACTTCAGGCAAATCCTTTGTATATAGATTTGATCGAATTCAAGGATGTATTCCCTGAATCCGTACCTTGCGAGTTGTCTAAGGACAAAGGCACTCGACACGAGATCGAGCTCAAACGGGGCTCGAAGTACTGTTTCATGAAGCAGTGGCCACTGCCTCGTGAACAAGTACTAGCGATCGACAAGTTCTTTGCCGATCGCTTAGCAGCGGGCCATGTGAGGGAATCAACATCCCCTCACAGCTCTCCGATCTTCTGTGTGCGAAAGGCCACAGGAGGGTGGCGGATAGTGCACGCATTCAACAAATTGAATGCTGCAACGGTACCGGCTCAGACGCCGATACCGAATAAAGACGTAAGCACAGATGTTATGACTAAGAGTACCATCTTCTCGTTCATGGATCTGATGGATGGCTTCCATCAGATCCTCATGCGTGAATGAGACATACCATACACAGCATTGAGCACCCCCAGCGGTATGCTGTGGGAGTGGCTAGTGATGCCACAAGGGATAAGCTATGTCCCGGTCACCTTCATCATATGTGTAGCAAATCTATTAATACCGGTGCGAGACTATGCGCCGAGTTACTTTGACGATGTATTCGTCCATAGCCAGGCAATAGACGGAATGACGGACGCGGAAGTTTACAGAACAAACGTTCTTCAGGCTCTTTAACTTATGCGGAAACATAAGTTGTACGCCAACCTCAAAAGTGTATATTTGCGGCTGTCTAAATACCACTTCTTGGGTGTATTGTGGGTAAACACGGCGTACGCCCTGGTCCTTAAAAGGTCAAGGCGATCACTGACTGGCCCGTGCCAGTCGATGTCAAGGGATTTCGTAAGTTTCTTGGCCTAGCGGCATACTTGCACAAGTACGCGCGCAACTAAAACGAGATGACTGTGCATCTTTCTTGTTTACTCAAGAAAGATGTGAGGTGGTCATGGAACGCTGACTGTCAGCGTTACTTTGAAGGTATCGAGCAGAGGTTAATGCATTGCCCATACTGTCGATTGCATATTAGGATAGACCATTTCATGTGGTCTGTGACGCCAGAGATTTTGCGATCGGCTGTGCGTTGATGCAATTTGACACAGATGGTGTAGAGTACGTCATCTAATATTAACCGCGTCAGCTGCAAGCAGCTGATCGTAATTATCAGTGCATGACAAGAAACGCCTTGCCATGAAGTATGGACTGGCTAAGTTCCGTGTCTATCTCTTAGAAGATAGAACGTTCGCTGTGTATACGTCCCATGCGTCACTACGCACAGCCGTAAAC